CTCTGTGGTAGTTTTATTCCATTTTTTCCTAAAGTCAGTATTTGATTTTGCTTGCCTAAACTTTTTACATAATTTGGCTTATTAATAATCGCCCAGTTTTGCTCAATTGGACAAAGTTCAGGACAATTTGTAGGATTGTGTGTTCTAGGTATGAAATCGATACTATTGGCATTGTAGAAGTTTAATGTGGATTTGGAGTAATGACAACATGCTAGTCAGGCCAAAATATTGCATTACCATCGTGGGCATTCCACAGTGGCAATAAGCGCCTTTTAAGGCATTCTTTTTGATAGATTTCACTATTTATTGTTGAATTAGTGACGAAACTTTGTGTTTTTAATCCACATCGACATATGGCTTGACAAACCATTATTTTTTGGGGGAATATTTTTAGTTTTATTGTTTTAATTTTAGCCTTTACCTTTTTCCTGGAGACTCCCATATAAGAATGATGTCCTGGAATTGTTTTGAAATTAATTTCACATAAAATTCATCATCCGTAATTAACCTTTTTTTTTTCTACACAATTTTCCTGCACAATGTTTTGCCACTAAATTTTCTTCAGCATTGGGATCTTGGGGCTTTATACATCTTGAAGGACTTGATTTTATGCTTTTTCTTGATATTTCGAACCATTTGTCTTCTAGTTTTGCATTGTAGTACCAAATCTTCCTCAGAAATCTTAGGATTTGCCTTTATTTTTGCCAAAACATTTGTCTTCAGTTTTTTGTTAAGGTTCAAGTTATTGCCGCTTCCAGGTTTTCTATTTATTGTATTAAGTGTCAAATACTTATTTAAAGCTCTAATCACGGTGCTTTTAGAACATCCAACAGTTTTTACAATCGATTTGATAGGCAAATTAGGATTTTCCATTTGAGCGTGCAAAATTGCATCACTGTTTTGTTGCCATTTTGAATAATAATAAAATTTTTCTAAAAAAAATATTTTAACTGAAATACTAATGCATAGATAATTGTTTTTCTGTATGATAACATTCTGTATGATTATAAGAAATAAAAAATGTCAATTTTACTGCTAATCTTTACTTTAATGCCAATCTTTAAGAACGCAATTTTCCAATATCATTTTTGCACTCTTAATGTAAAAATGTGCGCTTTAATTTTTAATAATAAAAAAATAATAATAATAAAGAAAAGGTAGCTGCTCTATGCCAAACCCTCAATTGATGCAGCAGCACTTAATATAAAAAGATTTATATTAAGTTTTAAATAAGCATTTATTATTTTCACTTTGATTAAGTTGTATTTTGGATACTAAATTAAAAATGCAACTATAAAAATATTGTGTATTAAAAAGTATACTCTATTTTTAAAAAGTTGTTTATTAAAAGTATAAAATTAAAATAGCTTTTTAAAAACTACTAAAACTCTTTAGTTCTTTGTCATTGTTTTTTTACAGTTTTTTTTTTTAATATACTTTTTAATAAAACTCTTATACTGGTCATTTGAACTTATTGAGTTTGGTTAAAAATGATTTAGTTAAAACATTTTTAAAAAACCGTTCAATTACATGTCTATAAAGTAGAACTTTCCTACTTTAAAGACTTACAAAAACATAACAATGAATATTTTTTATCATTGCATAATTACATAATACTTATTTAAGCGATATTCTATTTTATATGAGCTATATGTTTTTTACTATTTTTGTTAAACCTAAAATACATTTTGCTGTTTAAAAAATGCTGTTTTAAACTAATTTTGCTGTTAAAAAAAATAAATATTTTATATTTCCACAAGCTTTATTTTGCCTGAGGCCTATATATATATATATATATATATATATATATATATATATATATATATATATATATATATATATATATATATATATATATATATATATATATACATACACAAAAACAGGAAGTTGCAGGGTCTACAGTACATCAATCAACTATCTTATAGCCTGCTGCCACAAAGCAGGCTATAAGATAGTTGATTGATGTACTGTACTGATGTACATTGTTATGTTTTTGTAAGTCTTTAAAGTAGGAAAGTTCTACTTTATAGACATGTAATTGAACGGTTTTTTAAAAATGTTTTGACTAAATCATTTTTAACCAAACTCAATAAGTTCAAATGACCAGTATAAGAGTTTTATTAAAAAGTATATTAAAAAAAAAAACTGTAAAAAAACAATGACAAAGAACTAAAGAGTTTTAGTAGTTTTTAAAAAGCTATTTTAATTTTATACTTTTAATAAACAACTTTTTAAAAATAGAGTATACTTTTTAATACACAATATTTTTATAGTTGCATTTTTAATTTAGTATCCAAAATACAACTTAATCAAAGTGAAAATAATAAACGCTTATTTAAAACTTAATATAAATCTTTTTTAATAAACAGTAATAAAAATTTTTTTGTTTAAATTTAAATTACATGACGCAAAAACAATTTTAAAAATATCAAACTCAAAAAGTATCAATTGCTCTCTCGCTTGGAGCTATTTCAATGCAATTTTTAAACTTTTCAAATTAGTAAAACATGTTTCACAAAGAAGAAGAGTAATGAAGAAACTTTTTAAATGTCAACATAAAAAGAAACACGACATTAAATAATATTTATAAGATAATAAATCGTTTCAATAAAAATGTTATTTAAAAAAATACATTCAAGTGGCAGTGACGCTTGAATATATGTATTTTTTCTGAAACACAAATCTTGATGAAATAAGAAATAAGTTGAAAGCTTGTTAAGAAATAAGTTAAAAGCAAAATATAAAAATTTATATTGCATTTTATTAAAATACTAATTTTATTCAAATCAGCATTTTTTTTATGTGATAATTAGGCTATAACAATATGACCTAATAAAACATTGGCAAAACTCTTAAAGTGCTACTGTTGCAAAATTTATTTGAAAATTACAAAAGTTGAATTTAATCATCTGATTTTCAATATTTTTTATTTCAGCCAGTCAATGTTGATCTGCAACCTTTTTAGATTAGCAATTAAAGTTTTAGTCAGAATAAAAACTTTTCATACCTTGGTAATATATGCCCAAAGCCTCAATCAATGTATTTTCTGAAGCCCCTGCAGCTTTCTATTTTAGTATAGAAAAAAATAAATTTTATTTGAAATACAAATTTTATTTAATTAATTTAATTAAAACAAGAGTAAAGTTGTCGTTTAAAAAATTTATCACATTCAAATGGAATATATTGATTGTTTAATTATAAATGTACCACTTTGTAACATCCTAAGATAAATATTTTTATCAAGACAGCATCTCTAGCCTTTACTTAACCGAAAGCCTGAAGGCAAGGGAATTTCACCAAAATCAATTACTTGCTAATCAGTCAACAAGATTACTCTGAAACTTAACTAAATGATATGCATTTTCTAAACAATAACAGTTTTATAGAAATTAAAATACTGTTAAAATATCCAATTTATTTTTGTAATGAAGTTTTTCAGAAATTTTTTTATAACATGAAAAGTTGGTTTACTGTTTTTTCTCAGTTTTCTTTTTTTAAGAACAATTATTATTTTTAGTGATTACTTATTCAAGCTGTTGTTGATTGGAGACTCTGGTGTAGGAAAATCATGTCTCCTCCTTCGATTTGCTGTAAGTAATACTTTTATATGTTATAGTCAAATTTAAAGTTTTTTTTTGCATTTTTATTGCAATTAGTTTGATTTCTTTTTTAGGACGATACTTATACGGAAAGCTATATAAGCACTATTGGTGTTGATTTTGTAAGTTTTTTTAAAGTTGATTTTTATCTAATAATGAAACATCAACCCTAGATAGGGGTTGTAAATTTACAGACTTTTTGATTTACCAGTAATTTGGTAAATAAAAATTGTAATACCATTAAATCTGTAAATTATCAATAAATCAATACAACTTTTATTAAATATCATTTTTTAAAAAGTAGTTTTGTAAAAAGCTTAAACTATCCTTAAACTTGTCTCCTAATCAAGATCTAATTTTAGTACAATTTAGTCCAGCTCCTGAAAATACTCTTTCAGGTTCAACACTTGTCAGAGGAATCAGGGTTGGAAAAAAACCAGGGTTTTTAAAAAAACCCAACCCAAATGGGTTTTTTTAGGTTTTATAGGTTTTTTGGGTTTTTTTAAAAACTGATCAAAATACCAAATTTTTATAATTGTATGAGTACAATAATTTTTTTTTTAAATTCATAAATTCACCTTCCTATTGCTCCGATGACCACTTCAGTCAGGGGAGCAACTCATTTTTTAAAAATATTTTGTCTCAAACCTTAACATTACCATTTTTACTAACAAACAACATTAACAACTAAAATTTTTAAACAAAGACGCTGTGCGGGGAAATAGATTGAGCACAGTAATTTCAGCAGAGGTAATTTGAACCCCAACCTTCTGGTTGCGAGCCAAATGTTTTACTACTAGTCTACTAGCACATTTTACCTATAATGCAAAAAGGGACTCCATCAACTATAAATGATGTTAATTAATTGCACTAAATTAAAAATACGTTCAGAATATTTTTGACTAAAAAAAAATCAGTATAAAAATTATTGACAATTGAGTTACTCAAAGTTGGTAAGACAATATAAATGTTGCAAACTTGTTTTTTTTACTAACATGTTCAACATATCATTTCAAAAACTATTTTGCACAAGTTTACAACATGTAATCAACAAGTTTGCAACATGATGTTGCAACCTTATAAGTTATTATGAATCAAGTTGACTATGAACACTTTTTAAACATTTTTGTATCATAGAAGAAAACTGCTAACCTAATCACTATTTTTTTTTTATAAGAACATTATACTGTCCAGTTTCCTGAAAAAGTTATCCACCTGATCAACTGGACTGGCAAAAAATGGATTTTTGCCAAACTTTAATTGTTCTTAAAGTATCTAAAATAAATTTGTTAAGAACCATTACAGTGTCTTTGCCACCAAGTTTTTTTTTTTCCTTGAAGATGTTTTACCGGCTCAGTTTTGCAATGCAAATTGCAAACTGAATCAAAGTAACACATTATACAGCTCTATTGTGTGTGTTTCTTCACCTTTTAGCAACTTGATACTGATGTCAATTTTCAACCCGCTGTTCATAGTCACCCTTGTTGGTGGTACATGTTGTAAACTTGTAGCTGATGCAAAATATTCAAAACCTATCAAAAGACAGTTGAGCACGAGTGTCATTTTTACCAACAAATCTTGTCTTTGTGAAATACATACAAGTTTTCAACATGTTCTCTCATTGAATGAGCAAACATGTTTGCAAACTTGCTTGCACATATCTTAATTTTTTTTAAGTTTTAAAGTTGTATGTACTTAAGGACAAATCTAGTAAACTGTAGCATTTTTTTTTTGCCTGACAACTTTCCTTCTCTAAACTGTAAATAAAGTTTAATAATTTTTATATATAGTATTTTGCTTGTGGCTTTCTACTGAAATTTGAAGTTTACAACATAAGCTTTAAAAAATAAAATTGCAAATACCAATATAAAGGAATATAGACATTCGAGAGGAGAATAAAGATACTAAATAACTAGTAATGTCTTGAAATTTAGTTAATAGAATGATTTTTATTTCCTTTATAAGTATTTAACTAATTTAATGTTTTAAAGGGATCCCAAACTCCCAACACATGTTGTGTTCATATTAAAGATAATGTTAAAAAAAAAGGTTTGAACCAATTTTTTTTGATTAAAAATAAATAATGAATGCATACCGAGAAAAACAAATGTTGTTGTTTTTGCCGAAGCTCATCTTCTCCATTTTTTTCAACTAATCGGAGTCTTCAAATTATGCGTCGCAATCTACAGACTTTGGCAATTCCTTTGAAGCGCGTTTAATTCATAAAAGTTTTAGTATTTGACGTCACGGTAGACTTTTAACAAAAGAAACTCTGGAAATATTTTTATTTATTTTTAGTCGAAGTTTTTTTGGTTATTTGTTTAGTTTTTTTTTTTTTTTCTACTTTTAATATTTAAAAGGATATTAAAAATCTTAAATCTTTTATGCTGGTTCGTTGCTATAAATTGTTATTGCGCCATATATTTAATGTTTATAAATTATGAATATTTATTATCTCAATCAAGACTCTGATAAAAAAATGTTTTACATTAATTACCCGTATAAAATTATTATCTCAATTATAAGACTCTGATAAATAAATGTTTTACATTAATTACCTGTATAAAATTAGTAACAACATTTTTATTTGGTTAGACGATATTTTGTCTCAATTTGCTTGGGGAAGTCAAACGAAAAAAATTTATTTGAATAATCACGTCGAAATATATTTAAAACAAATTATTTAAATGACGGGGGTACTAAAGTCTTTTTATAACAAAAGTAGGTAAAAAAATAAATTTAAATTTAATCAGCGAATTCAAAATTTTTTTATAATAAAAAAATTTAACAGTTCATCAAATATCTCTAATTAAATGAAAGCAATTGCTTGTAATTACTTTTTTTCGACGGAAAAACAAAAAACTTCATAGCGTAAAAATGACCAGAGAAGTTAGAAAATAGTTTTGATTGTTTAATGTAAGATTTAGAATATATAATACTGCGCTCTCTTGCACAAAAACGAGAGACCGTTTATATAATGTTCTATATAATGTAAAATACTTGTAAGAAAATCATAAGATTGGTAAGTAAAGCTTTAATATTTTTTTTAATTTAAAAACAAAATTAATATAAGTAAGATATATAAATCGAAAAATTATTAAGATATCTGTAAAAAACAAGTTGCTCCTATAAAATAAAATTAATTTATCATTTTTTCTTTTTACAAATTTTTTTTTGCGATGTTTAGAAAAATAATACAAATAAATTTGTTTTGCTGTATGTTAAAAAAATACTACAGTAGAAAAACGCAGCTTAGTTTAATTACACTTTTCTTTTGTTAAAAGTCTACCTTGACGTCAAATACTAAAACTTTTATGAATTAAACGCGCTTCAAAGGAATTGCCAAAGTCTGTAGATTGCGACGCATAATTTAAAGACTCCGATTAGTTAAAAAAAATGGAGAAGACGAGCTTCGGCAAAAACAACAATATTTGTTTTTCTTGGTATGCATTCATTATTTATTTTTAATCAAAAAAATTTGGTTCAAACCTTTTTTTTTAACATTATCTTTAATATGAACACAACATGTGTTGGGAGTTTGGGATCCCTTTAATACATATTTCAATAACATTTATAATAGCTTGCTAAATGTTTAAAAAAAATAACAAATAACCAGCTTGCTACAAAAACAGATTGATCGGTTTTGGGTATATTCTAAATACCATTATGTATATAAATACAGTGTTTACAAGAGTAATTACAGTATAAAGGTTGCATCAGTTGATGATAAAGCATTTATAAGTGTGAAAATCAAAGTTATCAGTTGTAAAATAGGACGTTTTTAAAAAAACCCAAATATATTTTGGGTTTTTTTAAGGTGGGTTTTTTTGGGTTGGTTTTTTTTGCCAACCCTGGGAGGAATGGTCATCAAATAGTCAAAAATTATTTGAATGTACTTCCCTGGTATATTTTCTTGTTGAAAGTACTTCAACTCTTTTTTTATAACTTTTTTTAGACCTTTTGTGTTTCTTTTTTCTAATATTTCTATTTTAATACAAGATTTTCTACATATAAATTAACCTTTTCAGTGCAGAGTGTTTCAACGGCCAACCTAATAGGTTGCAAGCTTGATATATTTGAAAGTAATTTTACTTCACTTTCATTAAAATCAATATCAGTTTTTAAATCTATTAGACTTTTTTGAACAGCATTTTTAAGTTTTAAAAATCTTTCCAGCATGCTTAATCAACTACTCTATCTAGTTTTACAGTCTAAAATTATAGAAAATTTTTTTCCAACAGTTCCTTTAATGTATTTTTGCAGTAGTTTATCATTTTTGGTTGGTGATTTTCTGAAAAATTTTACAACTTTTCAAATTTTTGTAATTAAAAAATTTAGCTCTGCGTTTTGTAGAACAAGTTATGTAGTGTCGATATCTTTGTGGTCTACTTAAAAATTTTCAAGTTCAATTTCTGAATAATCAGAATCAACATTAAGTAATACATTACCATCATGTTCATTGACATTTTAAGAGTCTCTGTCTCTTTTTTTGATAAAAGAAGTAATTTTCGATGCAATTGCAACTTTTTCTTGTATATTTCTTTTTAACACATAAATTAGAGTCGTTAGATTTACTCAAGCGTTAAGTTTAAAACAAAGAATGTTTTGCGCTTTTATATTTTTAATTTATAATCTATTGATAAAAAAATGAATAAATAGTACATTCTTTATTAGATAAAAATATTCAGCTATTAGAAATTAAAATAATCCTTACATAGCAATTGGTTGGGTGATTAAAAATGAGGAAAATTAAAAATAAAAGTAATTACTTTTACTCAGTAATTGGTCAGCATTACGTAAATAAAAACTTTATCAAATTACTGAGTAAATTGCTTAACTTTATGTAAATAAAAATTTGAGCAAACTGCTAAAGGTATTATTTATGTAAAGCTGACCAATTACTGAGTAAAAGCAATTGCTCATTTTTATTCACATGACCTAATAAGCTTGATTTACCAGTAAATTACAAAAATTTACCAGTAAAAAGCATGATCCAAATTTAGGTATTTACCGGTAAACTATTAACCGGTATTACAATCCCTAGGCCTAGGGTTGCAGCTCAAAAAAACCAACAAAAAAACAAAACAAACAGGGCACTCCTAAAAACATGCTTTTTTACAGGGTTTTTTTTTTTTTTTTTGGTTTTTAGTATTCTTCATATTTTAGATTAATGATTCTTGAAACGGTTCCATCTCCAATAAATCTTCCAATATACATTTATATTATATTTAATGTATATTACCCTATATATTAGCTATAATCATTTATACATTAAGGTTAAAAAAATCACTACAAAGTATAAGCAAAATTTTGTTTTGTAAAGTTACTATTTTATAATACTACTGTATTAAATTTTTAACATAGGTAATGCCCATTATTTATGTCAACGAAATAGGAGGAAGAAATCTGAAATTTTTGACAGTTGTTGACAAAGGGAAGGGGGAGGAAAGTTGGCATCAACACTGTTACTTTTTAAAATAAATTAAATTACTTTTAAAAAGTAAAAAAGAATGTTTTCTTCCATTTAATATTTTGATGGATGGAGGAGGGAGGGGGGGAGAGAACCAAAAATGTTGATAGGGGAGGTTTGGAGGTGAAAGTCATCAACAAAAAAAATGTTAACATAATGGACAGCCACTAGGTTGATTTTGAAGATTCAATTTTGTTATTCTGTAGTATGTATTTTCTATCTTGTTGCAGTGTTATTTTTATTGCTATGTTTATATTCTTCAATACTGTCGATCAACAGTAGTGGATTTAATACTGCTAGTTAAATTTTATCACTTCCACCAACAAGTACATCTTTGATCAACAACTAAAAGTAAAAATATAAAAATATAAAATATAAAAGAAACAATTTCAGACATGCATCAAATGTGGTAAATACATTTATAAAATAATATATTCTGTCATTACAAAATTTATTAATCAAATAATATATTTTACAAATAAATAGCAATTTATTTTCTTATTTAGATAATAGTGAATCAGTTAAATCATCAGAATAATAAAAATTGTGAATAAATAGCATATTAAAACTTTCAATTGTCTTTGAATTTTTATAAAAGATAATGTTTTTTTTCATCAACTCGTATCAAATTTGGTAGCTAAAAACAATAACCACTCTAAAATAAGAATACAAAAGTTGTATAAAAATTTTATAAAGTTTTTTTTAATTTTCTTTTTTTAATTTTTATAAATTTTCTAGTTTATTTAATTTAAATTTGATGTCATTAAAATTTTGTTTCCTTTTTTTTAGGATTCTTTTTTTCTCTGTAGATAAGTTTAGCTGTTTCCTGCGAATTATTGTAACACTTTATAAGTTAAAAGATGCGAACTGCTGTGGTCAGTGTGTCTAAAAAAATTACTTTAAACATGGACAAACGAGGCATGCTACC